TGCAGATATACATGGAAGCAGAATGTAGTATACATAATAAATAAATAAATAAAATCTTTAAAAAATAAATAAATAGCTAAATAAAAGCATGAACCACCATCATCGGGCTAGCAGACCATGTCTCTTAAGGACCCCTCAAGAGAGACTCCTATGGTAGTCCTGATACCTGTCACCCAGAGCTACTCTAGGATGCTAGCCATTCAGTGGGCACTGAGGTGAGGGTAGTATAGAGCTACTAGGGTACCAAATAAGATCCTGAACAAGAGGGAGAGACACTGTAAAAGGGGGAGAAGGAGAACACAAGCCTTGGTGGTGACCATGTGGGAAGGCAGAAGGTACAATTGGGAAGCCTGAGAGAAAGTGGCCTTCTTGGCTGGTTGACTAACCTCACTGTTTTTTTTTGTCAGATAACGGTGAGGCCTGCATGGCGTCTAGAAGCTTATTTTCAACTTAATGGGGAAGTCAAGGCTGGGGCGGTTAGTCAGGATGGAGGGCCAAGTGGCTGAGGCCAGTATTAAATGCTTCCATAAAAACAGTCTAGAGAGGATTGATTCTGGAGGAAGCAACAAGGTTCTGCCAGGCATAGTGGGGGTTGTGGCAGAACCGGTTTGGGCTCTGCAAGCCTCGGTCCAACCCCCATGAACCCTGACAACCGCTGGCCCCAGTAGCCCAGCAGTTCCTTGCTCTAACTCTACTCAATCCTGGCCTTTGGTCTCACACCCTTCCTTCCTGGTAGAGACGGGCACTTCCTATCTGAGAGATGAGATAGGGAGCCTCACCCTGGGCTGCCTAGCCTGCTGAGTCATGTCTCTGATCTCCCTGAGTATCCCTGGCATGAATTCTCTTTCCCTTTTTGTTGAGAGGAGCCATTCACTGCCCTATGACCTTGTGGCTTTCTAGGAATCACGTGACTCAGACCAGCTGTCTGCTCTGGTTGCAGTTCCTACTGGGGTTGGGGTGGGTGTCTCTCAATGGGTACAGATGGTGAGAGGCCCCCAGTCACCAGTCCAGAGGTCCCTTTACCTTGAAGATATTTTAGGACAGGTAACAGTGAAAAGCAGACAGGAGAGTCATTCATTTTGGCCACACTGGGAAGAGGGACAAAGAAGTCCAGAGACTCTTGAGTCTGTCATCAGGGTCTGGACATGAGGTTCAGACTTAAACAGAGGGCAGGAGGTGTGCATAGCTAAGCAGTCCTGGTCAAGGTGTGGTCCCACCCCTCACTGACCCATCACTGTTAGCTCCAGTCTCTCCTGCAAGGTGGTCTGACAAGTTCTCAGAACTCTGTGAGCTCTCTCTGGGAGACAAGCTCCCCCTTTGGCTGGCACCAGGCTTCAGCCTTTCCCTTCCCCAGTGTGAGACTCCTGGGAAAATTCCAATGCCTTGGGGTCCATTGTTTCTGTAGTCTGATGGCCAGAGAGAGGCTCACAAGTTCTCTTTAGAATACCTTCTCTTTTTTTTTTTTTTTTTTTTTTTTTTTTTTTTGTTAGGGGGAAGGAGGGGGGATTGGGAGGCGGGGCTGAGACAGGGTTTCTCTGTGTAACAGGCTGTCCTAGAACTTATTTTGTAGACCAGGATGACCTCAAACAGAGATCCACCTGACTTTAAAGGTGTACACCACCACTCTCCTGACAGGCTGTGGTCTAGACTAGTGGCTCAGCCTCCCTAATGCTGCAACTCTTTAATACAATTTCTTAACAAAAACAAAACAAAACAAAAACTGGGCTCAGTCTTTAATTCCACTACTTGGGAGGCAAAGGCAGGCGGATCTCTGAGTTCAAGGTCAGTTTGGTCTACAGAGCAAGTTCCAGGGCAGAACAATCAGGGCTACACAGAGAAACACCGACTCAAAAACCCAAAATTAATAATAATAATAATAATAATAGTAATAAGCACAGTTCCTCATGTTTTGGTGACTTCCCCCAACCATAAAATTGTTTTCCTTGCTATATCATAATTGTAATTTTGTTACTATTGTGAATTGTAACTTAAACATCTGTGTTTTCTGATGGTTTTAGGCAACGGCGGTAAAAGGGTCATTTGACCCAAAGAGGTCACAACCCACATGTTGAGAACCACTGGTCTAGACTATCTTCCCCTCCCCCTTGTCACTCTTCTTAGGTGATCCAAGGCCTGGTCATTGGGAGACTGAGCACCCATTTCCCAGAGGAAGCCTTGCTGCGATCCAGTGTGCTGGTCTTTGCTGTTGTGGGACTGGGCATGGTGAGAGCACACACACACACACAGAAAGAGAGAGAGAGAGAGAGAGAGAGAGAGAGAGAGAGAGAAACTTCTTGAAAATAGATTAATTGGTTTTAACATATGTAAATTTGACCTCAGTATTTAAAACTGGAGCAGCACAGTTCTCTATATTCTATTTTAGTGACTTTATGAATCAGGTCTCAGGCAATCCTCCACCCATGTCTTGTGTGTGCTCAAGTCCCTGGCCTGCCTCAGGCCACATTACACTCTCTCTCCTCCTCAGCCGATCTACTTTCCATGGTGTAGCACTATGGGTGGGAGCTCAGGGTGGGTGGCCATCTGGCTTTGTAACTTCTCTGCTCAACCTGACCCTGCCCATTGCTTTGCCAGGCGCTGATGTCCAATGTTCTGCACTTCTGCTTTCTGATGCCCGGCCTGGTATTCAGTTTCTGTGCCCTCAATGTGGTCACCGACAGCATGCTGACCAAGGCTGTGTCAGCTTCAGACACAGGTGAGCTGTACAACGGGGCCCTAACAGCCAGGGTTCCTCCCAGTAGCCTGGGTCAGAGAAGGTGGAGGCGACAAGAAGAGCCCAGGTGAAGATCCTGCCCCTTCCTAGCCCTGCTGACAAGTACCAAAGCAGGCAAGGGCACAGATGGAGGGCTTCCTGGAAGAGGCATTTAGCTGGGCTCTGATCCATACCAGAATTTTGCTAAAAAGAGAAGAGACCAGAGACTTTGTCTAGGCAGAGGCCAGAGGAACAAAGAAGTGGACCTTGAAGGGCTTATGGGGCCACTTAGGAAGACAGCTGGTGACTAGAGTGGTAAAGAGGCCAGAGAAGGAGAGCAGCATGGGAGACTTCCCAGACCTTGACAAGACAGTGCTCAAAGCTTCCTGAATGGAGGGTTCGCATCCACACAGCTAGGGAAATCTTCCAAGCCTGACCTCCAAGCCTGTCTAGGGTGGCCACTCCATGCTGCCAGGACAGCAGCTCTGAAGGACTGGGCCAGGAAGTCTCTCTGGAAGGAGAAAAAGGGGTGTTGAGGCTAGGCAAGTGGAGGGTGGGGCTGGCCAGGAGAAGCAGGCCAAGCCACCAAGGCCACGTCATGTCTGTGGCACCACCCCTTAGCTTGGAAAGAGCAGAGCCTGGTTTGCCTGGGAACAGGAGCCCGCAGAGGGGGCGGTAATTGCCCTATGTCAGTTAGTGTCTGCAGGCAGGCAGGCAGGCAGACAGGCAGGCAGGCAGGCTTGTGGGCAGTGAGAGAGGCTGCACCTGAGTTTCCCTTCAGCGGGGCCCTGAGTGTGGGCAGGGCCTTGCAGGCCCTTGTCTTAACCCAGTTAAAAGCCTGCTCTCAGAAGGCCCTGGCCAGTGAGTAGCAAAGCTCAGTCAGTGATCACCTTCTGGAGCAGAATGGGGCAGAGTGTGACTCCCACCTGGGAATAACAGGTGGAACAGCTACTGTGCTAGTGAGCACTGTTCTCCACTTGCAGTCACTTTAACAAGACCCTGTACACACATGTCCACACTAAGACAGCTGACCAGAAGCATGGAGACGTGGGCTCACACACTCAGGGGAGGACACTGGTAGCTCCTGTAGCCCTGGCCCTGACCCCTGAGATCCATGGAATCTATAGGAGGATGGTGGCGGAAGGGCCATATGAGAGGCACTAGGGACACCACACCCAACCAGAATGCCAGCCCTAAAACCCTACAGTGGCTCAGGGGACCAGACCCTTTCTAGCCAAATCTACACTGGCCATCTCAGTCACCATTTAGAGAGAGTGTGAAAGCCAGCACCCCGGATGTCCTGGGTGGAGCCCAGCCTATGCAGATCACATCTACCCTAACAGGTCTTGGAGGGTGTGTCCTATTCCTGCTCTGTGACCCCTTTCCCAGGCTCCTCCCTTGCCTGGGGAATTTCTAGAGCAGGAAAGAAGCTCAGTCCCATCTACACGGGGAAACTGACCCTGTGAATGGAGGATGCTGTGCTTAACTGGGGGCAGGGGGTGCTGGAGGTGAGGGGCAGCTGTGAGGAGGATGGCACTCTGAAGTATCTCAAGCCATCCATGAACAATGGACAGAAGGCTGGGCTAAGGCCAGAAGGCAGGGTCCAGAGACCTCCCTAGAGTCTAACTGCTATTTCCCTTTCTCCCAGGGACCATGCTGGGCCTCTCTGCCTCTGTGCATCCACTGACTCGCACTGTAGGACCCACCCTGGGTGGCCTGTTGTACCGCAGCTATGGTGTCGCCATCTTTGGCCAGGTGCAGCTTATGGTGAATTTGCTTGTCCTATTGGTCCTCTGGAGGAAGCCACTGTCCCAGAAGAAAGACAAAGCCCAGTGACCACACAGCCTGGTGACCTGGTCCAGTCAGGCAATAAACTTCGGAGTCTCTTCCTCCTGAGTTCTTTGGGCTTTGCCTAAATCTGTGGATAGAGAACCCAGGGGTCAAGGATGGAGCCAAGCCAGGGGGCTTTCTGGAAGAGGAACTGCAGCTGGGCCCAAGGCTCTAAGGAGCACAAACTTGCCTGAATCAGTTCCAGATCATTAATCCAGTCCTTGTGTCCACTAACACAGCCACTGAGGAGTCTTCCAGAAACAGCCCTGACACAGGGTGCTCCCCCTCTTCGAGCTCACAGTGTCACCATCCTGGGATCTGAAGCAGGCTTGCTTTAAAAGACAGGAGCCAGTTGTGGTGGCACATGCCTTTAATCCAGAATTCCAGGAAGAGGCAGACAGATCTCTGAGTTCAAGGTCAACCCAGTCTATATACTGAGTAGCTACTTCCAGGGCAGCTAGGGCTACACAGTAAGATCTTGTCTTTATAAAGAGGAGGAAGAGGGGAACTCGGCTTGGGAGGAAACAACTGGGAGCCAAACACATGACCTAGCCTCCCCAGCTTGAGAACTGCACGAGGGACACTAGTCTGACCCACCTCCCCACAGACATCCCCGGTGACAGGGGCTAGGTTCTCCTCCTGAGACCAAGCAGCCAACTCCAGTGGGCTTATTTGAAAGAAGCTGTTAGAACTTAGAATCTGGGCTGAAGAGAGATGGCTCAGCACTTAGGATCACTTGCAGAGGACCCAGTTCAATTCATAGCATCCACATAAAGGCTAATGGCCATCTATTACTCTAGTTCCAAGGGATCTGATGCTCTTTTTTTGACTTCCATGGGCTCTGGGCACACATGTGGTGCACATACATACATGTGGGGGGGGGGACACCTTAGCTGGGCATAATGGCGCATGCCTTTAATCCCACCAGGCAGAGTTCGAGGCCAGCCTGGTCTACAAAGTGAATCCCAGCACAGTCAATGATACACAGAGAAACTCTGTCTAGAAACAAACAAAATTCCCCCAAACAAAAAACAAACAAGCAAAAACTTAAAATCCTTAAACCTCAGAATCCCACAGTCTAGCCACACTCCACCTACCACCTCAGGACACAGCATCCACTTAAACCCTACCAGGAACAAGGGGCTCATCACCTGAACTTGGTCATGTGGTCATGTGAGGATCTGTGGGATGAGGTCTTAAACAAATGGGACAGAAGGGTCTCCTGGGACCCTGCTGATGACTTCTGCTCTTAGAAAAGGTCCTCCTCTATTTGCTTTAAGAGAGAAATTCTGCTGGGCGGTGGTGGCGCCTGCCTTTAACCCCAGCACTTGGTAGGCAGAGGCAGGCGGATCTCTGTGAGTTCGAGACCAGCCTGGTCTACAAGAGCTAGTTCCAGGACAGCCTCCAAAGCCACAGAGAAACCCTGTCTCAAAAACCCGAGAGAGAGAGAGAGAGAGAGAGAGAGAGAGAGAGAGAGAGAGAGAGAAACTCTTGTAAGAAAAAACAATTCTAGCACCCAAGACTTCCTAAGGAGAAAGGGGAGCCCCTCCCAGTCCTGGCTTCCAAGGCCAATCTGGGAGGCATTCCCATAGCCAGAGAGGCCCAGGGAGGATGATACCCTGCTTGGGCAGTGACTCAGTGTCACTCTACCTTTTTGGACTTGTCCTCCAGCAAAAAGCTTCAGGGAAGGGCTACACCTCTGTCTCAGGCCCTACCACCTGGCTGCCTGCCTACTGGACACAAATTTTTGAGCCCCTTACAAAGAACACAGCCAGGTGAGGAGTGTGAGGTAACACCTGGCAAGTGACTCAAGAAGTGGGGTAGAAGTAGGACAGGTGTCCTGTGAGCCCCCAGGCTTCACACCAGTGTCACAGCTCTGGGTCCCACTGTTGCATCCCTGGAGACAGCCAGGCCTGCCTCCCATTTGTGACAAAAGATGGACGCAGTGTGCTAGTCCTGTTGCTAGACACGGAACAGGAGGACTGGCAGCTGGACTCTCAAGTCACTGTGGTCCAGTGATGGGGGTTGTCAAGGAGCAAATAGTCAACTGCCCTTTGAATCAGCTGCTGGACAGGTGGTGTGTGGGTGGGAGATGACAATGAGGGCTGCCACCCTAGTGGACAGAGAAACTACTCAGGTGTCCAGGAGATGCTAGTTAGTGAGTGAACTCTGAGGAAGCATGGCCACCAGCCCTATCCTCCCCAAGCCACACCCAGGAGCAAAAGGTAGCCAAGCCACACCCGGAGTACTTCCTGACCTGGAGAGGCTGTGAACCCCACTAGCAGGTGACAATTCATTCAAAGGCAATTTGAATGGTTCCTGGGATGTGGAGAGGGAATGACACTGGATGGGAGACCCTTTCACTCCCTCCCTTACACACACACACACACACACACACACACACACACACTCAGGCCAGCAGGAACTACACGAACCACACAAGTTTTAAAAAAGAGAAATGGCATTGTTTATTTGGAATGAAAATACAGTATAAAAAATATTAAGACGGAACGGTGGGTTGACAGTGGACGACCATCAAAATAAATACAGTCCAATAAGTTAGCGCGCCCGCACAGCGGGGCGAGGCTCAGCAAGCACGGGAAAATCTTGGGCGAAGAGCAGCGGCGTCGCCCGGGGCATCTGCTGGGCTCCTGGGATCCTGTTTGACGCGGCCGCGTGGGTTGGTTCCCGGCTCGACTGGTCCCGTGCGTCTCTGTGGAGAGAAGACTGAGTCAGGAGCTGTCCTAGAGAGGGTCTGGGTGCAGTCTGTAAGTCTCCAAGTGGGGGGCGAAATACTGCCTTACGTCCCAGGTCCCCTCTCCAAAGCGTCTTCAAGGAGCTAGGATCCCCGTATCCTCCCCGGTAGCATTTGAAATCCAAGTTTCCCCCCAATGGGCCGCATGACCCGCATCCACAAACACACACATCTCCATTCCCGGTATTGGGACAGCGCGGGCGAGCGCAGCACTCACCACGGACTCAGGGCGCGCTGCTCCGGGGACTCCGGCTCCTCCTCCGCTTCAGACGCGGCGCGCTGAAAACGGTGGCGGCGGAAACCTTCCACCGCTCGACGGTTTTGGTAGTCGATCAGGGCCAGGGTGATGGACGCGTTCCAGCAGCTCTCGCCGGTGCAGCGGAAGTCGATCTCCTTGAAGTCGGTGGTGACGATGGTGAAGTACACGTACTTGCGGGTGTGCTCCACGCAGTCCACCTTGAGGATGGAATGGAAGCGCAGCTCCTTAGCGCGCTCGCTGGTGCCGGAGAAGAGGCGCAGGCTGTCGTCGGTGAGCACTCCGCGCTTCTTCTTCCAGAGCTGGAACAGGCTGTCGCTTCGCTTCTCCAGCTCCCCTTCACGAAGAATCTCTCCGGGGGTCATCGTGAGTTTCGAAGCCATTGCGAAAGGATGTATCGAATGCGCTCGCTGGTTCTGCTGCCGGCCGCAGCATGGGCCTTATAAGGACTCCTCCCCACGTCCTAGACACGCCCCGGAGCCGGGCACTCTCCTGCCTAGGCAAGCTCTTGGGGCTGCCCCCACCGACCGCCCCGGGCTGCCCCCTACCCACTGCCTGGGGCTACCGCTTATCGGAGGCTGGAGGGGGTAGGGGGGCTGCTCGGCGCCTCTCTGATGGGCGCCCCGAGCCTCCCCTCCAGCCCCAAAGTGCCAGCTGCCTGTTGGAGTAACTCTAGGTCCCCTCCCCGGCCGGGGGCTGGCGCCGCCTGCCTAGGAATGCACAGCAGCGGCCCCAGCTCGCTGTGACTCACTGGCGGGAAAGACCCAGGCAGCGCCCCCACCCCTAGACCGGACCCCAGCGCCCAGAGTTCCACTCACTGAGAGACCCAAGGCTCCTGCTTCACGAGGGTCACGGACCCAGGGATTCTTTCCCAGCCCCGGCAGCCGTCTCCTCCCAACTTGGGCGCGCATCCAAAGGCCACCCACTAGACCTTCTTGGGAAGTGGCCCTGCCCCAAAGGGCTTTATTACCCGTATTGCTCCCCGGAGTTGTGCCTAGAAGGAGTACTCTGAGTTTCTTTTCCCTTCTGTAAAATGGAACAATGACCTTTATTAGGTTAAGCAGTGAGGAAAGGGAATGGGTGTATAACACCCCGCAATGCTCAGCCATGTGAACAGCAGGAAGAAGCCTGCTCCTTCCTGAGCCGTTTGTGTGCCACAATCTTGGCGACAGACACCTCGGGCTGCAACCCTACAACCCCGATTTGCAGAAAGCTCAGAGGGGGCTAGCAAAGCTATCCTGGAGAATGTGGGGACCAACCTAGGGGCCAGGGGCGGCGGGGGCGGCTGAGTCATCGCCTTTCAGTGCACGGTTTTATTTACCCTCTGCCTTTAAAGGTTTAATAGCAGCAGGAAACGGACGCTGTTCCTCCAAGGTTCCCAGGGATGGGGGAGGGGCTGGCCGAGGGACCCCTGAGAGTCGACCACCGGTGTGGGATGGGGAGCGGGGTCCTGGGGTGATATGGGGGAGCAGCAAGGAAACACCCCTGGCTGCTGGAGAACTAGACACCCGACGTCTAGGCCAGCTGGCTCCCAGTAAAAACATCGGTGCCTCCATTTAAACAACTAAAATTAAAACTGACAGCCAGCCTAAAAGTCCAGTTCGGCGACCTGCTGTGATTCTGAGGCAGGTATATCCCGCAATGAGGAGGCTGAGGCAAGAATGGCCAATCTAGGTCAGTCTGGATTTTATAGTGAGTTCAAGACTACCCAGAGATGCATAGCAAAAAATGAGGGGGCCCGAGAGATGGCTCAGCAGTTAAGAGAGCTTGCTGTTTTTTAGAGGACCTAAATTTGGTTTCTGCTTCCAGTTGGGTGGCTCATAAACATCCACCCAGCTCCAGGGAACATGTCCCCTTCTCCTGCCCCTCCCCCCTACCACAACACACAGATGCATATACATTAAAGTAAAAATAAAAATAAACTTGGGACTGGCCCAAAGGGCTCAAGGGTTAAGAATACCTGTTGCTTTTTCAGACCCCCTTGGGTTTGTTTGCCAGAACCCATAGGGTGGCTTACATCCATAATCCCATGGGGGATGTCCTCTTTTGACTTCCTCAGGCACCAGGCACCCATGCTGTACACATGTATGTGTGCAGGCAATGCACTCAAACACATAAATGAACTAAATATAAACTTTTTAAAAATATAAGCCAGGTGGTGGAAGCACGTGCCTTTAATCCCAGCACTCAGGGAGGCAAATGCAGGTGGATCTCTGGGAGTTCGAGGCCAGCTTGGTTGGTCTACAAAGTGAGTTTCAGGAAAGCCAGAGCTACACAGAGAAAACTTGTCTCAAAAACCAAAAGAAAAAAATTTAAAATATAAACAACAAAAAAGAGAGAGCTGGTGCTGGGCGTTGGTGGCACACGCCTTTAATCCCAGCACTCGGGAGGCAGAGGCAGGCGGATCTCTGTGAGTTCGAAGCCAACCTGGTCTCCAGAGCAAGTGCCAAGATAGGCTCCAAAGCTACACAGAGATACTCTGTCTCAAAAAAACAAAGGGGGGGGGACTGGCAAGATGGCTCAGTGGTTAGAGGCACTTGCTCTCAATCTTTTTTTTTTTTTTTTTTTTTTTTTTTTTTTTTGGTTTTTCGAGACAGGGTTTCTCTGTGGCTTTGGAGGCTGTCCTGGTACTAGCTCTTGTAGACCAGGCTGGTCTCGAACTCACAGAGATCCTTCTGCCTCTACCTCTGGAGTGCTGGGACTAAAGGCGTGTGCCACCACCGCCCAGCACTTGCTCTCAATCCTGATGGCTTGAATTTAATCCCTGGTATTAACATGGTGGAGGAAGAGAACCCAAGTCCCTCATATTTTCCTCTGACTTTTGTGCATGAATGCACACACACACACACACACACACACACACACACACACGCGGGGGGGGGGGGAGATCAAAATAGTATTAAAAATCTTTTAAAATAAAGAAATGAACAAAGAAATCCTGGACCCACCCACTGACTGTCACCGTGGTCCACAAGCCCCAATGCACACAGACCCCTGCCCTTCAGGGTCCCTGACGAAAAAATGGGATTTACAAGCTCTGCCCAGGGCCCTGAGGGGTGTGTGGTAGAGCAGGAGGGTTCAGGATTCCTCTGGAAGAGGACAGCAACAATAGAGATAGGTAAGCAGTCAGCCAGTCCTTCCTGCCTCAGATGAGAGCAACCCAGAAGGTGGATGGGAGGGTGCTTTTGGGACCCTTGGGTAAGATAGTTAGTGAGTCCACGCTGAAAACATCCCAGCTGACTAGCCAATGTCAGGCTGAAAGAATTCCTAGAAAGCGCCAGCTCTCCCTGTGTCCTTTCCCCAGGCTGCTTAGCCATATGGTGGCCTGCGCTGCTGCTGCCGCCGCCCCATGTGCTTCCAGTAGGCAAGAAAGCCCAAGGCAAGAAAGAGGCCACTCTAGAAAGTGCAAGTTAGAAAAGAAACTAACTGCAGCTGCCCTGGATCCGCACTCCCATCATGCTCTGTTCTCTGTGTTCCATGCAGCTCAATGGAGCTCTTGCTCCAGGCCTCACAGACATTTGGTGTTGCTCCTTGTGAGCATAGGGGTGGAGATCTGGTACTTATGGGGATCTTGGAAGGGTCCCCCGAAGATCATGGAGGGCCTTTTGCTATCCTAGTATTAGGTACTATGTACCCAGCTTCCACCACCATTCCAGAGATCCAAACAGAATATTCTAATGTGCATCACTGGAGAAGAAACAGGTTCAAGGGACAGAGGGCCTGGATGACCCCAAGGGCAGAGGAGAAGGGTGAGCACTTAAAGCCCAGGGTGGGGACACATGATCGAGGCTGTAACTCAGCCATCCAGCTCCTTTCTACCCAGAAGCCCTGCTGCTCTCTGGAAGTTAGAAATGACCCAGTGAGCCGGGCATTGGTGGTACATGCCTTTAATCCCAGCACTCAGGAGGCAGATCTCTGTGAGTTTGAGGCCAGCCTGGTCTACAGAGCGAGTTCCAGGATAAGCTCCAAAACAATACAGAAACCCTGTCTAGAAAAACAAAACAAAACAACAACAACAAAAATGACCCAGTAGGCAGGGCCCCAAATGGGGAAAGAAGTGGGGAAGGGAACTGGGAAGCTTGGTACAGGACACAGAAAGACTTGTGTCTGTTGTTCTCTTGTGGGCTTCCTGTCCAAACAGTCCAGGCCCTTCAGAAAAGGTCAAAACTGGGTGTGAGGTACAACAGCTTCTGGTGAACTGCTGTCCAGATGAGCAGAGCTGACATTAGACTAACTTTAGCCAAGAACATTAGACCTTCTGTCAGCAGAGAGCCCTAGGCTGGTCAGTTGACAGTTGTTGGATACCCTGTGGTCTAGCATGGCCAAGTCAATAAGAACTCAGTTGGTACCTTGGACTGTGCTCTTGGGTAGGTGCAGACTTTCTTAGTGACATACTAGGGAACACCTACCCTATACAGGTACTCATAAAGAGCAGTGCTATGTCAGGGTCACACTCCATCCAGGAAGGTTCTATCCCCAAACCCCAGAGGTCATCTGAGTCCCCAGAGTAAGGGGATTGAGGTGCCTGTTTCTGTTTCTCAGACTTGGGGTCATCAGGAGGAAGCAAGCTCTGACTCAAGAGCCCAAGTGAGAGAGGCCTTGGCCTCGAGGATCTTTTTATTGTTTGTTAGTATGTTGAGATAGGGTCTCGTGCAGTCCAGGCTGGCTTTTAACTTGTATAGCAGAGGACAGCCCTCAACCTTTGATCATCCTGCCTCTACTTGTCAAGTGCTGGTACCACAGGTGTTCAGGACCACTCCTGATTTGATGCAGTGCAGATCAAACCCAGGGCTTTGATCATGCCAGGCAAGTGCTCTGCTAACTGAGCTACAGTCCCCAGGCCCCTCTGCTAATTCTTTCTTTCTCTTTCTTTTTCTTTGTTTTGCTTTTTGTTTTTTTGAGTCAGGGTTTCTCTGTGGCTTTGGAGGCTATCCTGGAACTAGCTCTTGTAGACCAGGCTGGTCTCGAACTCACAGAGATCGGCCTGCTCTGCCTCCCGAGTGCTGGGATTAAAGGTGTGCGCCACCACCGCCCGGCTCTTTCTTCATTTGTATTTGTCTATGTGTGTGCACAGGTGTGCCTGTGTCACAGCACATAGAGGTAAAAGGACAAGCTGCAGGAGTTTGTTGTCTCCTTCCACCATGGGTTCTGGGGACCAAATTCAGGGCATCAGACAAGCCCAGCAATTGCTTTTACTTGCTGAGCTGTCTTGCAGTTCCCCCCAATCTCCTTCCTGTAAATTCTTTTTAAACATTTTTTTTTTTAAATTAAGGGCTGGAGAGATGGGCCAGGGTTAAGTGCATAGTCTGCTTTTGCAGAGAAGCCAAGTTGGATTCTCAACATCTACAAAGCAGCTCCTAACTATCTGTAACTTCAGTTCTAGCACCCTCTTCTGGCCTCCTCAGGTACTGCATAAATGTGATGCACAGATGCATACGCAAGCACTCATACCACACAGAATCAAAATAAATAACTATTTTTTAAAGAACTTTAAGGAACTTTTAAAATTAATTTAATTAATTAGTTAATTGATTAAGGGGTGCTGGAAGTCAAACCCAGGGCCTTGTGTGCCAGTCAAGAGGGCTACCTTCTATTGAGATATACCTCAGGCCCTGCCACTTTTTTTTTTGGGGGGGGGGGGGGCAGGGTTTCTCTCTATAGCTTGGAGCCTGTCCTGGATCTTGCTTTGTAGAGCAGGCTGGCCTTAAACTCAGAGATCCACCTGCCTCTGCCTTAAATCTCAGCAACCGGAGGCAGAGGCAAGCTGATCTCTATGAGTTCAAGGCTTAGAAAAAAATATTTCTTAAAAGGGGGGACCTTCTGTAGTAGATCAGTACTTATCCCTAGCATAGGTGTGGACTTTGGGAGCCCATTCCACATAGAGGGATACTCCCTGAGCCAAGACACATGGGGGTGGGCCTGGGCCCTATCCCAAAGGACATGACAGACTCTGAAGACACCCTACAGAAGGCCTCACCCTCCCTGGGGAGCAGAAAGGGTATGTGATAGGTAGGGTTTTAGTTGGGGGGGGTGGTAGGGGAGGAGGGGAGGGAGAGGGAACTGGGATTGACATGTAAAACAATCTTGTTTCTAAATCAAATTTAAAAAATGGGGGAAAATTCACATAAAGGGGGGAGGGGTAGATATGAGAAAGCTAAACAAGTTAAAGTACTTGCCATTGAACCTGACGACAAACTGCAGAGCCCCAGAACCCACATGGTAGGAGGAGAAAACTGATTTCCTCTGATTTCCACATGTACACCCCACACACAAAATTAACCAATAAACAAAGAAATAAGTGATTAAAAAAAAAAGCCTGGTTCTATTGCACCAAGTGCCTGGAACCAGGAAAAACACCCCTTAACTTGGTGTGGGGAAGGTTCTGGGTTAGGGTTTCTCGGACAGGAGGGCAGCGTTGGGGGCTAAGCCTCTCACGCCAGTCAGCCTCACTCCTGGCCAAGTTTACTAATATTTATTGGGGCAGTATTCGGATTGACACAATATGAGCCTAAGGATCTGCTCACCCAGGCAGGTCACAGTGGGTTGTGTGTCCCCAAACTTCCAGAACACTCGCTGTCCTGCCCAGCTGCCTGGCCCCTTGGCACTGGAGCTGAGCTGTGTGAGGCTTTGGCTCAGCTGGGAGGAATGAGGCACCTCTTTGAAAATTTCCCCAATGAGGTCACCTCCTCGTAGAGGCCAGCTTGATAGGCACTTGCCCAACCAGCTAGGTGTGTCATGGAGCCTGTCAGGGACTGAATGTCACCCTCTTCCTGTGGGCTGTGAACTCACGGAGGCTTGTGGATGGCTGTCCTGCTCTCCTGCCTTCAATATTCTCCTCTTGCCACCTCAGGGATTGCTATGGTGTCTGAGGCTTGCCTCTCATCATGTGCAGGTCCTTGGGTGCACAGCAGAAGTCGGAATCTGATCCCACCTTGGAGCCCAAAGGCCCTAGTCTAGGACCTATGAGTTAGGTCAGCTCTGGATCCCCCTTCTCCCCAGCTACAGTCTAAGCAAAGAAAGAAGCCTGGGACAGAAGCTGATCTGCCTGCCCTACCTTGTTTCAGGTCTTTGCTGTCATCCTGGCCTCAACCTTCCAGAGTTGTCCTCAATGTCCCTGATTCCCATTTGT